TTAGGAAAGTGTAGAGGCGCCACGGGAGGATGACGACAACAATACTCAAGGAGGGAGGAATCATAGGGAAAAAACAAAGGAATCATAGGGAAAAAACAAAGGAAAAGGGATGACAGGACAGTCGTCTCCACAGGGTCAATGTAAAGGTTAGGGTCAACCATCTTCATCACCACCATGAAGAAGTGATGCGAGTTCTATAATCTGTCAAAGAAACTTTGGTGGGATAGGATTCAGAGGGGACTCTTTATGCAGTATGGCAAACCGTTCTGGCCGCAGTGTAAGGAGTAGAGACAATGGAGGGTGCATACTCTTTTACACGTTCCGTTAAGGTAGAATTAGCAGCTGCCAGTCGAAAAGTACCTCCCTCGACCTTACGGACAATGGTGGCTATGGCTGCTGACTCGGAAGCTACACTCCCGGCACAGTCCATCAATGAGATCCGTTGCACTTGAGATGTGACTAATTCCCTTGAGGAGTTAGGTGAAGAACTGCCAAATCGGATCTGCTCCTGGGTAGCATAACAGAACAGTAGTAAGGGTGAGTTGTTCCTTGTAGAAGTCGAGCTCAATGGAGAGAAAGTTGGAGCCTCTGCAGATACAGGATCCGGCCGGAATTACATGAGCTGGTTATGGGTAACAGTAATGAAATTACTGACACACACTACGTTAAGGACGTAGTTTGCGGTTTCTTGTGTGACTGCCATGACATAGTAAGGCTAATCTGGGTGAGTACGCATGCACGAGTTGTGGCTTACTCAACCCTCTTCCTATTCCCCCTGGATCCCATGAATTGGTCAACCATAGACTTCATGGATACACTCGTCAGCAGCACGAAGGGAAGTAGACAAGTGTTCGTGGTCATAGACAGATTTTTAGAGCTTGCTAGATTCATACAACTGCCAGAAACAATGACGATAGGTTCAGTGACTTCAGTCATTGAGACTTTCTTTGATTAGTGGGAACCGGACTTTGGTTTTCTTAAAAGGATAGTGAATTTTAGGGATTTCAGAGTCACGAGTGGACAGCAGCAGTGTTCAATAAGCATGGAACTGAACTGACTATCACTATGAAACAAATGGACAGGCTGAGCAGATGATTTATCAAGTATGACAGTTCCTGGGCATTTTATCACCCACATCAACTCGATTGCAATGCGCGCCTGAAGTAGCAAATGCCTGTAAGAACGTTGTTCATTCTGCCACAGTTTGCGGTCCCAACCAGCAACATCTTGGATGGAAGCGGAGGAAGCCACTCGATTTCCTGTTTTCAGACAAGACGTGGGATTTGCCTCCTTGCACTCTACGGGAGGAACAGATCTCAGCAGAAAACTATAGAGAGATCTCAGCAGGAGATGATCGGGCAAGTGGATAAGCACAAACATGTATCTCTCTTTCAGGTAGGAGATCCGGTTTGGCTGAAAACTGCAGAGGTAGTCCGGAAGATAATATTTCTGAAATGGAGGTAGTCCGGAAGATGATATTTCTGAAATGGCGACCACTGTACTATGGGCCGTGGGCAATACTCCAGGTAATGCCCCTGGTGGTCCTCCTCATGGCATCTCGATGTCCCACCTCGTCTTTGCACTTGCCGGTGTTTCATGCATCAAAGCTCTTGCCTTTTCAAACTAGCGATCAGTTTCCTTCACCCTCTATATGGATGAATATGTGGATGCTGATTCTATCATTCAGCACCTTTAACACCGGTACCCAGACCCAGAGTAAGAGGGCGTCTGTCGCCTACCGAAGGCTAAGTTGCATACAGACAGAGTTCAGTTCAGATATCATACTGATGCGGGTGAAGGTCGGTGGTTTCCGAGGGAAGAACTGGTGCAGACCTCCAGGAGTTTCGAGAATAGAACGGGGGCTGAAAGGAAAACAGCAAGCGGAATGAATGGATTCTCAGGGGACTTCTTACGAAAGGGAACCCAAAGGGGGGTGGAGCGTGAGGCTGGAAGGGCCACCCAGTTGCAGACAGGGCTCGTAGGCCCTAAACTCTCGGTACTGGAAAGAAGATGGCCTGGCCAGGTTTGGAAAAAGGGCAGGTGAGGCCATGGGAGGGTATCGATGAGGTAGTTGAGATCCCGGTAGGCCGTGCACCAGCAGCAGTGCCAGCCAGCCGCTATAGCTGGGGAAGGGCATCACCAGCCATAGCTGGGTGCTTGGAAGGAGAGAGGTGGTGCGAGCGGGCAAGGTCCTTGGAAGAAGGGGACGGGCAGAGGGAGGGAAAGCTGAGTAGGGACGCATTTGATGTTTGCCAAGAAGAGCTCCACCGTGGTGCATTCTTTGTTCAGGCATCAGTGGGAGCAGCGTTGTACTCTGCAGCATCGTACATTGGTGTAGTGTAGGTTATGAGTAGTAAAGTAGAGTAGATGATCACATAGGCTGGTAAAGAGACCGTCGAGAGTGGAGAACAACTATTATTGTTGTTGTATTGATTGCTGGGAGGTGAGAAGAGGGCTTTTTCATCATCAAGAAGTTTCAACATTGTCAATTCTTGTGCTGGTGTCATCAGTGCCTTGTGATTTCTGCTAATTGCCTGGTTGCAACGTGCATGCTTGTCAGGAGAGTTCAGTGTGCTTGTACATTGAGTTTCTCAATCCAGTATGGTTTCCTCACAGCTGGTTATTTCTTACCTGATTGCAGAAAAGTGATGCAACGAACTCTTGCTAGAGTAACGATTTGCTGAATTCATTGGAGAGGAAAATATAATTTATAGGAAGTACCAGCGGGCCTAGCTCAGTTGGTACACCCGCGAACTGTTGAAATATAGACCCAAGTTCGAATCCAGATACAATCAGATGACCAGAATAAATCATTTTTTTCTGAACTTACTCTGAAGTACCTGGGGCCGGTCAGTTCAATGATGATATCTCAACGCCTTCGCCCTTAAAAAAAAGAAGAAAATATAATAAGAATATACTACTCAGAGCAGAGCTAGTTGAACCAGACCTGTTTGAAGGTCTCTTTTTCTCCAAGTCAAAAAATCAAAATCAAAATTTTTATCAAATATTATCGGAATCAATGGCTTAGGGGGTTACTAAACCATACTTGAGTGGAATTTCTAAAGTCAAAATTGATGTTCCCGTCTGATAGAGGGCAGCCAGACATTCACGCACTCTCATCACACACGCAGAAGAAGGAAAAAAGAACCATTGGGAGGAAGCTACCAAAGTCTATATTGGGAAGGATGCCAATGCCAAGAAAACATTGGATACCCAGCCCATGTGGCTGAAGAGGTACACACATGTAACGGTGACTGATGAACAGCTCTTGAGTTCAAATTCTACCGGAATCAGTCACCCCCCTTTTCTTTGAAAAGGGAACCGATAAAGGATACCATGATTATAAATAAATAGAACATTCACAAGCCTGAAAAGGAGGGTCTTGTTTTCGTCTGAAAGCCTGAAACCCCCCACCAAACAAGATCATGGGTTCAATCTCCTCCCCCCC